CTAACAAGATCCAAGTCATTTTAATGTATTCACTGGATTGGCGAGATTGTCTTAAGCCATTAAAATATGGCCTCACTACTTTGTAAATAATATTACGAACGTTCAAAAATGTAGTTTTGTGCGATTTATGTCCAATTCGTCCAATTTTTATTGCATAATCATCTATGAAATAACGAACAGCTGTTCGGATCAAGATTATTTTTCCTAGCTGTCACTGATATGTTTACAAATGTTGTTTACAAATACCGCAACCTTTTTCAATCACGTTTTGAATGTAAATCCCAAGTGATTAAAAACGTTTTTCTTACATAACCGATTTAATTAATCGAAAGTGCAATAATATAGTGTAATAGTGTAACCGTGTAAATGAAATTAAATAACTAGGCATCATCCAGTTCAGGAACCAGAGATTCTTTGTGTATAAATTGTTCTTGAGTTTTGATAACCAGAAAGAAGACCTTGAATCAGTGTTGTATACGGCTGGGAAACTTTAAATTTAATAATGATCGTCGCCAAATGGCTTAGAAATATGGTTTCCACTCTTTGACACGGCGCTTCAATGGCGGTTGTGTAAAGTGTAAAGTAAAAAATCACAACTGCAGTGGGTGATTGTAACAGAGGTTTACGGATGATGCTAAACTCGCTTTTCTAATGTGTTATTTTCTGTTCCTACCATTGACTATATATATAGTCAATAGTACCTACTCACCGTGTGATGCAATCGCTGGACCATACAGCCAATAGGCCCATAGCCCATCTCTTGGGTACGTACGCCTACCCAATTATTCATAACAAACTGTTCGACGGCGATCCTTGATACCGGTACTTTTCCCTAGAATACACGGCCTACCTACTTAAGAAATAAAATTACAAACGTCCAAAAACCCAACGTTGTGTGATATTTGTCACATTTCCTTCTAATGTTATTAGATAGCCTTTACCAATCATTGTTTAGAGAATAGGTACGTAATCTATTAAATAACAAAAAGTTGTTTGTATGAGGTTGTTTTTTTTTCAAACTGACACCGATAAGTTTACATTAAAAGTTGTTTACAAATAAAGCAATTAATGGGAAATAACTTTGATTGCCGTTTTAAAACGTTTTACGAGAAAATCCAAAACCAAGAGATCAATAACCTCGGGACTTGATTAACTCATATAATTGGTCGGCTGTACTATAGTTACTGTATCAACTGTGAACGTTGGTTTTTGGTACCGGTTCTATTCCTTAGAACCGTTGGTACTGTTGGTAGTAGTAAGAATCATTTTTAAGTACCAAAAACACATCACTGTACTTTAAAAATTAGTTATCGTTGGTGTTGCACCTTATTTATTATTACAGGCGTATTCAATTTGATTGATGTCTTAACTGTACAATTTTGGCTTTTTCTTTCTTGATTCCAAAATGTTAGTTTATGCTAAGAAAACGATAACGCATTTTAGTAAAACATTTATTCAGCAAACCATAATGAATTGTTTAAACGCTTTACGTTGTTTATGTATCAATAGTTCGTGGCCTATTTTGGTAATATTTACTATAAATTACCAATCGTCTATAGTACTTCATTTCATATAGTAAGCCGTCATTTCGGGTCATCATCGGTCCAAGCAAATATAGGCTACATTGTTATGATGAAATTTGATGACATAATATTTCAGATACTAATTTTACAAGTACTGCTTAAACCGTAGCAAATCCCCTAATTAAGTTCTGTATTTGTGTGTGTATGTCTGTTAGTAAAGCATTAATGTCCTTATTTCTCAGTGTTTCACGGAAAGGACAAAAGTACCTTTATAATGAAAATGTCAACACGAATAAAGTGTTAAATTCGGAGGTTGAGGTAGTACCTTAAATACTTTAACCATTGTGGAATGTAACTTTCAATTATATGCCTACATTAGGGCTATGCCTCATAGATCTATAAAGCATTTTTTAGTTTAATCATTGGATTTAACATATGGACCAACACGACCCAGGTTACATTTAATTTCGAAGCATTTGTTTTGGCTTGAAACTGTCAGATACTGTATTTGCGAAGGTTTATATATAATAGTTTTGCCAGCATATCTGAAAATATGGAAACCAAATTCTGTTCTTAATAAAAATGTTTCAATAATAACTGACTACAATAAGATCCCCGTGCGTAGAACGGGCACACAGCTAGTAGGGAATAAATGTAATATTTTTAAGGAGACATTTTAGTGTAAATCCAATCAGGCAAATGGAAATTCGCTTAGTCTGCAGGTTTGCTGCGGCGGGGGTATTTATTAGTATCACAGTTTTACAATATTCAACCTATGTGCATCCCTCCACTTAAGCACAAGCAAATGATAAAATTATAATGGTAAGTAATGGAAGCGTTTAAGGCTTAAGCTTTGCTTAGCTGTTTTCTAAGTTAGGTTAGTCTAGTCTAGACTCATGATTGAGCAACCGCCATTACAGTACTACGAGTGCGACGTTGCCGATGTCTACCTGACTACCACACTGTCGTTTCTGCAGAGTATTCCCTCACGTAGACATGTGCGTTAACGTTGCAGTGTCGCACGCTCACCCGCCTGGCTGGGAAATGTAGTACAGATACCATCTATATTATAACTTAATACGGAGTATGCTTAATCTAATACTCCCCTGGATACTGGCGCGCTGTGTGGTGGAAAAACGGGCCGTGCCCACCATTCCAAATGGTGGGATACTGAGGCCGGCGGGTCGTATGAACCTCTCTCTTTTACACAAACATACCTTTGCTACACTTATTTTTTTACATAAAGATTTCAAATTTATATATTTTTAGACAGTGCTTATTACCGTGTAGTTAGTTTGAACCTTAACATATTTTTTTATAGTTTATTAAATTAAAATTTATGGTTGATTTTTAACAGCACTAAAAACGTGAAAAATGTAGTAAGCGAGGAACTTTTTTATTTTCTGAAACAATCATTGTTAAAGGAATACAATGCGCGTCGACATTATGAAACAAAACATTTAAAAATAGATAACTTAAGTGAAATTACAGGGCCGGTAAGAACAGAAAAAGGGTTCTCTAAACTTTTTCTTCGTCAGAGTGCTTAAAATGTCGACTTTGTAAGTATAACTTTTCCTAAATTTATTAGGGGTATTCTATACCCCCCAAACCCCCCCAAACTGAAATCCTAGGGCCCCATTGGAAAATTTGCCTGGGGCCCCTGAAGTCCTAAGTCCGGCCCTGTTTTCAAGTAAGAACTCGAAGGTTGAACATGAGCTATACCTATCAGCCCATTTATTAACATGCAATTTTAAATTTCGCGCCAACTCCGGCCTCACGAAAACATGGCGGGCGTTTGACACGGTGGTGGGAAAAGGGTGGGTGGTGTTACGAGAGATAAGGCTTCGTGAAGTTACGCTCCCGAACAGATTTGGTGTAATGAAAACTTACTATCGATAGTCACACTATCGATATTGTTCGATAGTTTTTTAAAAACTATCGATACTATCGATAGTACTATCGATAGTTACTCAAATGAAGTTTTAATGTATATAATATTGTATATCCTTCCTGCATGGGTTTAATCAATGGTTTCTACCTAGTCGAAGATAAAGCTGTAGGCTATCAGATTGTTAATTTTAACAATTTGTGAGTGACGTCCTGGTGCCTCCTTTATGATTTTTTCTTTTCCAAAATATTATAACATTGCTATAAAATAACAATAAGTTTTGCCATTTTATTTTATTAATCACTAAACATCTTATCTTACTAATATAATAAATGTGAAAGTTTGTGTGTTTGTTTGTTTATTTGTTTGTTTGTTTGAAGTTCAATCACGCATAAACCACTGGACGGATTGGGCTGAAATTTGGCATGATGATAGCTTACATTCCCGATTAACATATAGGCATATTCTTATCTCAAAAATCCTTTCGGGCTCCGCCCCAGTGGCTCTGTAATTCCCCATGTTAACCTTATGAGTATTTATATTTAAAGGGAATTAAAGAATTTTGTCAGCTGTTTCAACTAAAAAAGTTTATTCTATGATATGCAAAAGCATTAAAAAGTTAAAAGATTTACCAACAGGGTGCAGCACTATATTTTTTTTGCATTTATGAAAACAGCTAATTTGAACTAAGCAGCAACAAAAAACTGTGATTCGCAATGAGAACTGTCAAAGTAGGATTGTTTGCAGTTATGTTTATGTTTTTCATTTCATGAATAATTTGTGATATTTTGCGAATTGTTGATAGTTTATTTTTCTCTATTGTTTAGGTGAAGTGGTAGAACATTATGGCTATGATAGATGTGTAATACTACGGTATAGAATACTGTAAATTTAAAAAAACAAATTTTATTAAACTGTGTCCTCCCTTATTGCAAACCCAAAACTTGAGTATAACTGCAATAAGCATTATATACTTATATTCCAACCCCGTACGAAGGACGGGTACTCTGCTAGTATTATATATTTATGCTATGTGAGTATTAAATAATTTGTTAATTGAATAATAAAAAGAAAATGGCAAGAGAATTTTTTACCGTATACCGATGTCTACTCTTTAATCAATGCTAAAACCCATAAGGCAAATGTACCCATAAGTCCGGTATAGTGAATTAGCAAATGCCCCCTCTTCCAAAAGTTTAAGAAGGTACTTTTCTACAATAAACTTTGAAAACAAACTTAGGCTATAATATTAACAATAGGTATGCATTAACAGACAAACAATGAAATGTGAGAGTACATAACAGAAAAGGATTTTTTTACATAATTTAACGTAAACAAAAACTATCGATAGTCCAATACTATCGACCCACTATCGATATTTTTAAGCTATCGATACTATCGATAGTACTATCGATAGTAAGATTTCACTAATTTGGTGGGCAGGGAAAGCCGCTAGTGTAACACGAGGGTTTTATCTATTAGGCCAATGGAAACATAACCTTTACCTTAAGAGGTTAAATGGGAAATTGAGGATTTATGGCTGAATACAGTTCGGTTTCAATACCTACCTAGGTTAAACCTAAACTTACCTCAACATTTATTATTCCAGTCCACTTTGTGAAGTCATGAGATGGGATAAGAAATGGAAACTCTTCTAATATTTGCATTGCAAAATCCAGCATATTGTTGAGTTTACAAAATTACATTGACAATTTGACATTGGCTCGTCTGTCTGTTGTCTGTGACTTTACTTTGACACTACACTACAACAGTGACAGTGCAGTGACTAGGTCGATTCACACTATACTACAGTACTACACACTACACCACACACGCGGGGCGCGCCACTTGTTATCGAAATATCAAAAATATGGCAATTCCTATTGTTTTTCACTCAATCTCGCGAACCGTTGATTTTACCGAAAATTTTATATTATTACATTAAAGAAGATTAAATTCGTGACAGTTTGAGCCCAACAGCAAGTATGTAGCGTAAATAATGGTCAAAATACAGACCATCAAAATAAATAAATTTTCCAAAGACGTATAACAATTGTGGTTTTTTTCAATATTTCCACAATATAGTTGTTTGATGCAAACACCGTATTGATTTAGAGAGTATGCCAGTTTATTTGCTATTATTAGAAAATAAATGAAAGTATGAATAAAAATACCCCCACCTCAGCAAACCTGCATACTAAGATGTTTGTGTGCGCCTGTGATGTGCCTGCCGTGGCACTGCGACCCGTAGACCCAGGATAGCTAGTCCATGTCTTGGTGCTCGTCACACCGGCCGGCTTATCACTCCCCTCTCACCCCCCTCCCAGCAACAACTATCAACTGCCGACTATCTCTCTCGCTCCTTATCTCCTTACCCCAAGAAACTAAAGGCGGCACACATCAACGCCCAGTCACTGCGCTCCCATATTGATGAGGTTAGGGAGATATTCAAATACAGGGATTTTGATTTGATAGCTGTTTCGGAATCTTGGTTGAAGCCGAGTATTTCATCTCATGAAGTGAACCTCCCTGGCTATATTCTGCAGCGCAATGATAGAACCGGCAAACAGGGTGGAGGCGTTGCAGTTTATATCAGGGAGGGAATCAATTTTAAAGTTATTAACTCTTCAATTTCTGAGTACTCGGCAAAACCAGAATTCCTTATTATAGAAATTGGTCTAGCTGGGGCTGACGACCTGTTGTTGTGTGTGTGTTACCGCCCACCTAGAGCAGGACATTTTTTGGATTTTGAAAATGCACTATTACACTCTTTGTTTAGATACAGTCATGCCTTGATCATGGGGGATTTCAATACTGACCTACTCTCGACAAATCAAAACTATGAATACAGACAACTGACTACACTGTTTAACTCTTGCAACTTAGATATACTTCCACTCGACCCTACACATCATGCTGCTGAGTCTGACACTCTCCTCGACTTGATAGTGGTGTCGAATGCTGCAGACATTATACATCATGGGCAACTTCCAGTTCCAGCAGTATCCAAGCACGATCTCATATTTTGTGTGTTTTCAGTTAAGGCTCCTAAACCCAAGACTAAATTTCTAAAATACAGAGATTTTAAGAACATGAATGTAGTTGACTTTATGGCAGATATTTATGAAACACAATGGCACTTAATAGAAAACTTACCATCAGTTGATGAAATGGTGAATGAGTTAAACACTAAAATTATTAATCTTTTTGACAAACATGCTCCAACAGTAACTAAACGTTTGACTAAAACACGTCCGGCACCATGGATAACCCCAGAAATCCGCAGATTAATGGCTAGACGTGATTGTATTTTTAGGAAAGCTAAACGTTCTCAAAACCAAACAGAAATGGAACAATATCGTTATCTTCGAAATAGAGTGAAACAGCTTTTGAGAAATTCAAAATTAAGACACATCCGTATGCTTTTTGAAAATAAAAATCAATCCTCTAGGGTTTTATGGCGCAATGTAAAAAGTCTTGGGCTTGGGAAGCAGTCTGAACCACAGAGAGTGAATGTCCCTCTCAATGAATTAAACGCTTTCTTCTCTTCATATGGTCAAAATATCAACCAACAACATGTTGTAAATTACATAAACGAAATCAGAAACCTCCCTGATCAGGACCTAGGACATCCTTTTTTTTTTTTAACAAGTATTTATTTACAATCTATTCAATACTAGAATAATAAGTAAATTTTATAACCATCTTAACATGGGTTAGTTACACTCCATCAAGTGCACTAACATAAAAAAACTTTTAAAAAGTTTAACTAAAAACGATTTGGAAGGTCTATTGGATTAACTCTTTTGAGCCTATATGTAGCTTCACTATTGTCGAGGAGGTTGACTGCCAGGAAATTTGGATGGGTTTCTAATTTTCTTTGGTATTTTTCACTTCGTTTCTTTATTTCTTCTTTAACATAGGGTAATTTTGTATCTTGATGAATTACTTTATTTGTGACAAACCAAGGTGCTTGTAAAATTTTTCTCAATGTTTTCGATTGAAACCTTTGAACTATTTCTATGTTTGAGTTGGAAGTGGTTCCCCAGAGTTGGATACCGTAGGTCCAAATAGGTTTCAATATAATTTTGTATAAAAGTAATTTATTTTCAACAGATAATTTTGAATTTCGACCAATGAGCCAATTTAGTTTGTTTGTTTTTAAATTTAAATGAAGTCGTTTGTTCCAAATGTGTGAATGCCATGTAAGCCGTCTGTCGAGATGCATACCAAGGTACTTAACTTCGTTGGATTGTGGAAGCATGACATTATTCAATGTTACTGGGGGACAAGTTCTTGTAGACATAGTAAATGTAACTTGAACGGATTTTGTTTAATTTACTTTAATTTTCCAATTCTGTAGCCACTGAGACAAATCGTCTAATGCAGCCTGAAGGTTTGATGATGCCAGAATAGGATCCTGATTTGATGATAAAAAAGCAGTGTCGTCTGCAAATGTTGCAACCGTAATACCCTGAGTACTTGGAAGGTCATAAGTGAACAAAATATACAAAATAGGTCCAAGAACATTGCCTTGTGGTACACCTGATTCAATTTCATGCACATCTGTAACTATATCTTGATATTTAATATCAAGGAAGATCTTGAAAATAAACGTTTTTGTTCATCTGCTTTTTTGGACGTAGCCCAGGCGTTTGATAAAGTCTGGCACACAGGATTATTGTTCAAAATTAAAACTTTGCTGCCCCATACATACTATGGAGTGTTGAAATCGTAATTGTCCTAGGACATCCTAAGTTTACTTTCAGACCTGTAGTGCAGTCAGATGTTCTTAACGCAATTCGTCGGATTCGTAGCAATGCAGTCGGATCAGATGGCATTCCAATTCGTTTTATAAAAGGCATTCTCTTTGCTATACTCCCAACTGTCACATGCATTTTCAACACATCACTAAGGCAAAGTGTTTTCCCTATTTCTTGGAAGTCTGCCCTTATTCGTCCATTAAATAAGATCCCAGCCCCGGCATCTTGCCAGGATTTCAGGCCGATCAGTATATTGCCCGCATTATCAAAAGGCCTTGAAAGAATTGTGCACTGCCAAATGACGGAATTTCTGACTGACAACAACATACTTTGCAGCTTTCAGTCTGGTTTTCGAACGGCACACAGCACAGAAACAGCACTATTACGTGTGACGGACGACATTAGACTAGCAATGGAACGTCGGCATGGTACAATTCTAACACTATTTGATTTTTCGAAAGCTTTCGACTGCGTAAATCATAATCTTCTTCTGGAAAAGTTAAGGGCCATAGGGTTTTCAAATGGTGTATTGGACTGGCTGGGATCTTATCTGTCAGGCAGGCGGCAATGTGTTGAGGTTGATGACGTACGATCTGACTGGGAGACAGTTACTTGTGGTGTGCCTCAGGGGTCAATCCTTGGCCCTCTACTGTTTGTACTATACATAAATGACCTGAGCTCAGTCCTCACACACTGTAAATACCATATGTATGCCGACGACTTTCAGATTTATACGCATTTCTCAGCAAAATATATCAATGACAGTGTTCTAAAAATCAACGAAGACATCGAGAAAATCATTACCTGGACTGAAAAACATGGACTTAGACTAAACCATACAAAAACAAGACCAATAATAATTTGTCATTCACGTTTACGAAACTCAATTGACCTTGACACAGTGAACTCAGTAACTATAAATGGGACAGCTTTACTTTACTATGACAAAGTGAAAAATCTAGGACTTACTATAAACTCGACGCTTACTTGGGGAGATGCAGTATTAGACATACGTAAAAAGGTGTTTGCATCAATCCACTCACTGAAGAAGTTACAGAATTTTTTACCTTTACACATAAAGTTACACCTAGTAAAATCACTTGTCTTCCCTCACTTCACTTACTGTAACTCTGTGATCAATGACATGACTGTAAATCTCGCTGATGCTCTCCAACGCACTCAGAACTACTGTATAAGATTTGTTTATGATCTGAGACGTAATGAGCGCATCACTCCTTTTTATGTTGATTCTAAATTACTAAAACTATGTGACCTAAGATCAATAAAAATTCTTATGATAACCTATTCAATATTAAAAACAAAATTTCCAAAATATTTTTTAAACGACTTCAAATTTGTAGCTGAAGAAAGTGTAAGAAATTCACGTTCTGCTTCAGTAACTTTGCGTATGCCTCATCATAGAACGGCAGTTTATGACAGAGCGTTTGTTGTTTCTGCTTGTCGCCTTTGGAATGATCTCCCTCTAGCCATAAAAACCCTTGATAGCCGTCCCCGGTTTGTGACAGCACTAAAAAATCTGTTTTCTGGACGTATGGCCATGGTTGGTATATCCTAGGCGTGCGCTTGGTTGATCACTGACAGGTGTGCGTGTGTGTGTGCCAGTTCTTGCGAATGTGTGTTGCGTGTGTGCGTGTACGTGTGTAGGTGTGTGTGTGTGTGGGTGTTTATGTAAGGTGGTATGTTTTAAAAGTTTATTGTTTCTTTTTACATTAAATATTGTAAATAGATTATAGTATTTTATTTGTATTGTACATTGTTTTGTTTTATTTGTATGTTTAGATTTGTATAAACAGGTTAAGTGTAAGAGAGGGCCATGTAGCCCTAACTTTGCCTGACTAAATAAATCATTTTCATTTCATTTCATTACTAAGCGAATTTCCATTTTCTTGATTTGATTTTAACAAACCTATTAAATAACATTAGGGTTAACTAGTACGTAGGTGTGCTGCTACAAGTAGGGTAATATAGTACTGTATATCTCTTAATAAAATAATAATAGTATGATAAGAAACAAAAATTTCGGTAAAATCAACGGTTCGCGAGCATGAGTGAAAAACAATAGGAATTGTCATATTTTTGATATTTCGATAGCAAGTGGCGCGCCCCGCGGCGAGCGGCAGTATCTCGAGGTGGATAACTTGGATTTTATGTTATGGGCCCAATACTAACAACATATCCAAAAATCAGAACTACCCGACCTTTTGCATACCAAAATGTCTTATTTTACTGGACTATTAAATTTTCCTACGATATGTTTAAAACATCTAGGCTAAAGTACCTCCGAATGTACAAAACATCATAAAACTTGGTTGTAAACATATTGCGCAACATTTTATTGTTTTAGATATTAGTATATACTTGTGTGCACAACATATATATTGTGATATATATGTATATCACACATATATATCATATATGTGTGATATACATATATATCAATATGTAGATATATATATAGATATAGATATAGATATATATTGTGCACAACATATAAAAAAATGAAGACAAAATAAATATTAATATATATATATATATATTCAGGTTAATTTGAGCTTGAAGTCTAGCTAACGCCTCCACGCTACACGTACTCAATGTTTTAAAGCATCATAAGAATAAGTTTTAAACATATTGCGCAGGTTTTTATCATTTAAAATATTAGTATATACACTTGTGTACACAAAATATAAAAAAATTAAGAAAAATAAATATATATATTTAGGTTAATTTGACCTTGAAGTCTAGCTAATGCCTCCACTCTACAGGTACTCAAAGTTTTTAAAACATCATAAAACTAAGTTATAAACATATTGCGCAGGTTTTTATTGTTTTAAATATTAGTATATACTTGTGTGTTCAACATATAAAAAATCAAGAAAAAATAAACATATATATTTAGGTTAATTTGAGCTTGAAGTTTAGCTAACGCCTCCACGCTACAGTTACTCAAAACTGTTTAAAGCATCATAAGACTAAGTTGTAAGCATATTGCGCAGGTTTTTATTGTTTGAAATATAAGTATATACTTGTGTGTTCGACATATAAAAAATGACGAAAAAATAAATATATATATTTAGGTTAATTTTAACTTGAAGTCTAGCTAACGCCTCCACTCTGTACTCAAAGTTTTTAAAGCATCCTAAGACTAAATTATAAACATATTGCGCAGATTTTTATTATTTGAAATATTAGTATATACTTGTGTGTTCGACATATAAAAAAAATCAGGAATAAACATATATATTTAGGTTAATTTGACCTTGAAGTCTAGCTAACGCCTCCACGCTACAAGTACTCAAAGTTTTTAAAGCATCCTTAGACTAAGTTGTAAACATATTACGCAGGTTTTTATTGTTTAAAATATTAGTATATACTTTGTGTTCAACATATAAAAAAAATCAAGAAAAAATAAGTATATATTTAGGTTAATTTGACCTTGAAGTCTATCTGACGCCTCTACACTACAAGTACTCAAAATGCATAAAACTATGTTCTAACTAAGCCTTACCTCATCAGGACTTATTGTTAAAAGGACATCGGGTTCAAGTTCAAGCTGCAGTGGACCATACTTGACAATTCTATCAAGTTTTCTTGTCTCAGAGTAGCGATTTTTCGCATTTTCCGAACCTTGCTTTGTTCGATTTTGGTTATCTTTGTCATTTAGTTGGCCTTTCTCATATTTTTTATCACAATACATTTCCACGGGATTTTCTTCCTCTATTTCATCCCTAACCAATGATGTTTGGGCCTTCTGTTCATTTTAATCTTCTTTAGGTTCAATAGCTGCGCTTTGCCGCTTTTCGTTGTATTTCTCGTGTAGGTGGTTTTATTTTCCGTCGGTTTAAGTGCAGATTCATTCCTACCGATTTATGGGAATTTCATTGTGAAGTATGTAGCTGGCTTTTTTACAGGCCGTTTTACCCATTTCCCTTCAACTTGTTCATCATTCCCACTAATAATTGAACACATATCTAAACTGTTACTTTTCACTTTAGTTATCTTGCAGGTTTTATTTCCCTTCTTTTTATTACATGCTGCAGTTGGGATTTCTAAATAAATCTCTTTGCAAATTAAAATAATTATATTCCTCAGCCTTTGTACAAATCTGCCAACTTTTATATTTGTCAATCCATCGAGCACACTTTCTTTGATTTGTTTGAACCATCCTTCTATAGGTGCATTGCTAAACCTGGTCTGTGTACATTTCTCCTTTGACGAGCGTCGAATCGAAAAGCCTGACCATAATGGAGCGTAGGGCATGTACTTGGTCAAAAACAAATCCCAGAACTTAAGCGATTGCGGGAGATTTTCATTATTTTCATTCGAACAGTTAGTGCTTCCACCTTCTTCAAAGTCAAACCTATCTTCTATTTCTTTTCCAACTTTATAGAAAGGGCTTGATTGGTAAATCGTCTTCTTTTCACTCCTCTACCAAAGTGGATTCGTCATCTTTATCTCCGAGCTGCTCGATAAGTTGTATTGCTGATTCATCCCCTTCAAACATATGTTTAGCTGTTTCCACTGATTCGCTCATCTCTTTGCTCTTTGCAGCTACTACTAGTGCCTGTACCTTTCGTTTAAATTCTTCAAAATTGGTGCAGTTGATCAGTGATGCAATGCAACACATATAAAATTTTTTCAAGTCTTTGGTCATTCCAATTGTTGACAAGTCACCGGCTACCATATGCATGAAATGGCTGCAACACAGATGAAGGGTTACGATTCCTTTAATTTTGTAATTGGGTTTTAAGCAGAATCTAAACATTTTTATTAGATACGCAAGCACTGTCATTCGGTTCCAAGCCAAAATAACATCAGGCAAAAGCGCGGTGCTGAAATCTGTTACGACGTGCGTGAAAATTTGTCTTTTACACAAGTACTTTTTTGGAAGTGAACAAACTGCAAAAAATAAGATGTAATTGAAGCTACATCATGCTGGCAGCTAACGAAATCGAGAATTGGTAACAGCTTTCCTGATATGTTCACGCATCTAGAGTAGTAGTACACTGTTTTCCTATCACCTTTCAAAGGTCTCACAACTGATCCCGTGCTGTCAATATGGAGAACACATGTTTTATTCTTTTCATTTTGCATAGAAAATATAAGCGTCTTTAGCTGAATCTTGCTAAACATGTATACATGTAGTGGCTCTCCCCAATTCTCTGTATTGTCTTCTCATCATCTTCAATGTTGTCTTTTTCATTTTTACTAATTTGATTCAGTTGTTCATTCCTATCCCTGTCTTCTCGGAATCGTAGTATCAAATATATTCCATCGTCATTGTGCTTATCCATCATTTTAGCAGCTTCTGCTCTGGCTTGCCTAAACACATCTAAAGATCTGATTTGTAATACAGTAGATTTCCTGATAAAACAGTTCGTGATTCTGCTTGCAGAATTTTTTCGCTCCTAAAATTCAGCGCCTTTTTAGTAAGAAATGTTTGCTTAGCGACACTTCTTTCAAAGCCACTTAGACGCGATGGCAAGCTAAAATTAACCTAAATATATATATTTATTTTTTCTTGATTTTTTTATATGTCGAACACACAAGTATATACTAATATTTCAAACAATAAAAACCTGCGCAATATGTTTACAACTTAGTCTTAGTCTTTAAAAACTTTGAGTACGTGTAGCGTGGAGGCGTTAGCTATACTTCAAGCTAAAGTTAACCTAAATATATATATTTATTTTTTCTTGGTTTTTTATATGTTGAACACACAAGTATATACTAATATTTCAAACAATAAAAACCTGCGCAATATGTTTATAACTTTAGTCTTATGATGCTTTAAAAAGTTCTGAGTACTTGCAGTGTGGAGGCGTCAGCTAGACTTCAAGCTCAAATTAACCTAAATATATATATTTATTTTTTCTTGATTTTTTTTATATGTTGAACAAACAAGTATATACTAATATTTCAAACAATACAAACCTGCGCAATATGTTTACAACTTTGTCTTATGATGCTTTACTTTACAGTTTTGGGTCTGACTTAGGGGAGGTACAAATGAGGCATTTAGTTCAAAATTCCTCCGTGAACAGCGCTGTAGTAGAGAGCACTTTGGCAATAAAGGTTTACTAATCGCAAAAATAGTTCTGTTCATAAAATAAAATTATAAATGCCTCAAATTCAATTTTACTATTTTTAATTATAAAATTAAACTATCATAACCTAACCGAACTAACCAAACTTGCTGATAAAGAAATAATATAACAAAAGTTTAGTAATCGGTAAAATAATTATGTTTATTAAATAAAACTAGAAATTGCTCAATTAAAATTTTATAATGACTTAATAATAAAATTAAACTGTAATAACCAAACCAAACCAACCAAACTTGCTGATAATAAAAAAATCTTGGACAAAAAGTTAATGCTACTAGCGGGATTCGAACCCGGGACCTACAGTTTACCAGCCTGGCACGCTAACCATTAGACCACCGAGGCCGATGGCTACCGAACGTTTTGTTACGGTAATGGCGTTCCCTCAGCTAATAAGAAGCCATCAGCTGGGATCAGCTGTCATCGTAGCCTCTTCTATACCTCCCCTGAGTAAATACCTACAGTTTTGAGTACTTGCAGTGTGGAGGCGTTAGCTAGACTTCAAGCTAAAATTAACCTAAATATATAGGTATGTTTATTTTTTCGTAATTTTTAATATGTTGTACAGTCAAGTGCATACTAACATCTGGAACGATAAACAGTTGCGCAATATGTTTACAACTTATTCTGATGATGTCTCATTCCTAGTATGCTAAGTGTGGATACGTTAGCGGGACTTCTGGCTGAATATTAAACAAATAATATTATGAATAATTGAGGTCTACTTTTTGGTTGCAGCAACTGTACACCTCCGTGCGATTCAGTATCTGATTGGTCGAGTGTCAAAGGAGGGGAAGTGGTTGTGGGTGGGATGCGGAAAGATGTTGTGGCGACAGCTGTCTTCACGGTCGTAAAAAAAGCAAGCAACAGCAACAGCAACCAGCAACAGATTCGTGATTGACGTGATTAGGACCAGGAGCATAGCATAGTACTAGTACAGTACAATCCTTTGAAATAATGGCTAAATCTTACGATTATCTTTTTAAACTGTTGTTAATAGGTGATTCTGGTGTTGGTAAAACTTGTGTATTATTTCGATTCTCAGAAGATGCCTTCAACACAACTTTTATTTCTACAATTGGTAATCTTTAAGCTACAGTAATGATAACCTTAATGATAGGGTAAATTGATCTCAAAACAGAAAATTGATTGATTTACAGTTTGTTGAGGGAGTTTCCTTTGTTATTTTTATTTTGTTAGTTAGGCCTATCACAAAAAACTTTAATCACAATAACAAAGTTATATTACGTTGACACTGTAGGTGTAGGACTAGGCCTAAGTACTATGTAGCCTAACCTATGTGTTTTCATATTTTCAAATGCGGGTACAGTTTCTTAACTGGGCTATGCTAATACCGATTGAAGCTATCGATTCGATTAGTAAACCTGCGATTATTTCACCATCAGCAAGTTTGGTTGGTCAGGTTAGGTTATGATAGTTTACTTAGTTTGATAATAAATACATTTAAAAATATCGATTATTAACTTAATCAATATTTTCAATTCGATAGTTTCTATCGATAATAGCATAGACCAGTTAAGTACCCTCAAATGCCTTGTTCATTTCTTGTCTGAAGCCTGTTACTTGATTGATCTCGTCAAAAGTCTAGAAATAGGTAAGTTAAGTTAACTGATGTTTTTCTTCTGACAAGGCGACCTGTGCAATGCATTAAAAATGTAGGCCCTTTCCTCCCCAAATCCCTTTTGAGTTAATTAAAGTAGCCTACATAATTGTTTAGTTAGTGCCCCATTGATGTACGGTATGATTTGGTTGAAGCAAGGATTAGGCTAGCCTATACCGGTATAGGCTAGGCTAAGTTAGATGTTTTTAAATATTAAGTTAGGTTTTTTTATTTTTCAACCAGAAAGTTAAGATAGGCTATTTAAATTAGGTACATTATTAACTTAAGTTAAGGACTACAAAATAAGTTATTACATGGGACCTCTTTTAATTGTTTACAAGGTGTAACTTAAGTACAATTTATTGCCCAGGTTACAATTAAGAAGTTATTAAAAGATGTATTGATTAAAAGGCCGCTGTACTCCTTAAAGGAACTTGAGGATGAGCCCCTTGTTAAGATGAGTTTCTGTTCGCCTTGCCAATAGTAAACGGCCAAGTTAAGTTTAGTGACTCGGTAACTTATAATTAGGCCTACTGTAAATAATGTAGGCCTACATAGTTTTTATTTTTTATCATTAACAAATATAACGCAATCTATCAGACTAGTTCTGTCAAAGATGAAGAATTCAAGTAGGCCTACATATACAAGTAAGTAAGTAGGCCTATACAAGTAATCACAGAAATGATGATAATTAATGTTAGCCTAGTCTGTGATTGTTTGTTATTGTGTTTGTCTTACACAGATAGATATATAGATTATCTTAGAATAATTAAGTTCTAGAGATATAGATTAGACATAACTTAGATGTCACTAAAAGAGCGTAAGTTACCCTTGAAAATGTAAAACTGTTTTAAAAACATTCTCAGGAAATTAACTTGCACTCCTTAGGCTACTTTGTTAAGTCGCATTTACCCAGTGATGCAATTAATGCAGTTTAAAGCGTGCTTCGTGGTTTCTGTAGCACACTGATCCCTTTGAGACCAATGGGACTGTTTTTCTACTGACACAATCCGCAACAAACTGTCAACCTGTGGCCCTGCACACGGCGTGATTGGGAGCACACTGCTTTGAGAGCAGTCAGCTACGAATCACGTTGCCGAACTCGGCTATTGTTTACATTAGATAAATGGAAAAAACTAAGTAGATTGAGTGATGTACTAAGTTCACTGTTGATGAGGATAGGTTATTAATGAACTGTAGGTCTGATTTATAAGTTATGTTCCTACGCACCAAGTCGATTAGACAGAGAAACTGATATAGGCTACCTTAAGTCAACCTACCTTTAGTACCTTTAGTAGGCCTATTCCTAAAATTTTTCTTCATCGTCCTCGTCTATCAGGTGCCTATTAATAAAAATACTAAAAGGCACCCTCATAGTTTCTAGATTCAAACAGTTCCCTTGAGGATTTTCAACTTTTGTCTAAGTCCTTCTTTGTCCATCTCTTCCTTTTCGACCATCAACATAAAAGCAAGATGGCGCTGCGTCCTATTTTAAATATGCTGTTCCTGACCCCGCTATGTTCCTAAGCTTAATCGCGTAACACACAGCACAGTTACTAATGTTGGGTGAAAACGCACCTTTAGTGTCTGCCCCTGTGCCTTTATAGTTAAGTTTAAATAGCAAAGACAAATTTAAGTTGATTGGAAATTCAGGGTGTCTACCAACCGGGAAATCCGGGAAAACCGGGAATTGTACTTAATTTTTTACTGGCCATGAAATGTACGGGAATTGTCCTTAAATGCCAGACCATGTCCTTAAATTTTTAATGGGCAGTAATTTTATCGATCGCTAGTTGGTTAGGAGCACATATAAGGTTTATCAGATGTTGTTTAGTTGAAATGTTCATAAGTTTATTACTAGGATAATTGTGCAATAAAAAACTATTAGAAGCTCAACCCCATTAACATTTTATCACCACAATCAAGTGTCAATTCAAGTACTTCCAAGAACCATTGTGAAAGTAGCTTAGGTCATAAAAGTTTTATAAATTTTATTCCTTTACAACTTCCATTATTTATTACTTGGGTAATTATGAGATCCCAAACCTATTTAATCATGGAAATAATAGTTTTATTATAATGGCTGTTAAATCGTGTGCTCCCGCTATCTCCGCGTTCCGCCATCTCCGAACCCAAATCTGTCCCGCCACCTCCGAATTCTTGAGTGACCCTTAATCCCGTCACTGCCTGCGTTGGTAGCTGTCATTGCAGATTGAATTTTGTTAGTGAGTTAATAATTTTACCGAGATTAATACATTTTTAATCTTATTCCATATATTTTTTTATTAAAGCCCCGTGGATGAGGGTCAATCCATTAGAAATCATACAGAATGAATATTTTTTGTTGCTTCACATTTTTAATTTTTATGAAACTTTCATAAAATGTTGACTGTATCAATATAATTGACATGCAAGTGTTAAAAAAAATTTTTTCTCTCAAAATTTTTTTTGGCGGCCATTTTTGTTTGAGCGAAACGCGCGTTTTTTACGAAAATCGACGTTTACTAAATATTTAATAGCTTTCTTATTTTTTAAGATATCAAGACAAATTAAAAACCAAAATATTCAGCAAGAAATGGGCTTAAAATTGCTATATAATAAATGACATAAATATGTTGTCTAGCATGTAAAATGCTAATACATAAAAAAAAGATTTCAGCGGTGAAAATTTCATTTTCCCTGCAATATTTTCATAAGAAAAGGTAATTTCTCACCTTTAATATTTTTTGTGTTTTAAAGTTGGCATATGAGACAGTCTAAATCTCAAGTTTGGGTTATGAAAGTCTTATCCTTTTTTCTTTATACGTCTATAAATATGGTGGATTATCCGATTTCCGCCATTTTCAAGATCTTATATCACAAAAGGGACTGAACCAAAATCAATCAAATTTCTGTCATAAGTACTTGTAGTTGTTGTAATTATGATGTATAAGTTTGATCACTGAGACTCAACTAGTTTAGAAGATATGCAACATCAAAGTTGGGCGAAAATTACAATACGGCTAGTGTGCTTTGAGCATAAGTTTACAAGAAAAAAGCCAAAAATAACCTATTATTATGGTTGTCTTACAAAATGCATAGGCTTATAGTCAATTTAAAAAATTGGCTAAAGTTGTAGGGATCCAAATCTAATCCTTTATTTTCTAAAAAAAAAATAATACCACTAATAACAAATTTATTAAGTAAATCTTAATTAAATTAAATTAAATTATTTGCAATATTATTTTATAATTCTATAATTTTTAACAATCACTAGAGATGCATCATTTAATGTAACTTTTAGTAACTCAACAACAACAATGTAACTCAAAGCTTTCCTGTTCATACTTGCAGCCTGTGAACAATGGTATACAATCATGCCTGCAGAGACTTGTCCTCCCCTCCACCTCACACACACTATCTCAGTAGTAAATATTGATTCATTTCACTTTGTATTACTCCAGTGAATAGTACAGTAGTTGGATGTTTAGTGACAATTGTTTTAATGTTAATACATGTTATCTTTTCTATAGTTAAATTGTGAGTTTTTTTATCATGTGAAAGGAATATAGTATTTCAAATCATGGAGTGTTTTGTGGGTGAGCTAACCAAAGAATTATGTCACAAACAGGACTATAAGGTAGTGCCTAAAGAGGTAATAAATGTAAATGATTTATTGGAAGATGAACAAATTTTACTTAAACTAAGAGTATCTGTAGGGATAACCAATGTCTGTCATTACCACAAATTTAAGTACTTAGATAAATTCAGCCATATATATGGGAAAAAATGTTGCGACCCTTTGAATTTACATAAACATCCTGTGAAAAATGGCTTGCAGAAAATCCTAATCGACCACCTAAGTAAGCCAACAAATACTCCCGTAAGTTTGATACCCGGTAAATCACTTTGTCCAACATGTTCTTCAAAGATATTTTCCAAGCAAACACAAAAGCATCCCACTGATGATGATGATTTTATTCCTGATGCGTATGAATATGTTGAGGACAAAACTTTGCGGCAGGTAAGCTCTGTTTGTGAAACGTTGGAACTCTCTCCAATTTGTAAATTAATGAAACTTAACAAAGACCAAAGACATTCTGCACTGCAAAAGAAAACTGAAAAAATCACACCTGCTGTGAAAAGGAAATTAGAGGCATCGTTTTCTGAAAAATTTGATCCGGAGGACCAGTTAAATACTAGTTATGAAGAGAATCAATATGACATTTTGATAACTAAATTGAAAGAAAAATGTGCATTAGCAACCAAAGACGATAAAATAAAAATCATAAGTCTTTTGCCAGATTCATGGTCAAGAAACAAAATTGTGGAAGAATTTGGGGTATCCCATCATCTTGTAAACATAACAAGGCAATTGGTCAAAGAACAAGGTGTGATGCCACACCTATCCAAGATCAAAACTAAAAAAATCAGTGAAGAAATAATTAAAAATGTGATTTCATTTTACGAAGATGATGAAA